GGGTGTGAGGGAAGCGGCGGGGAGGGCGGCGGCGGAGCACCTTGAGCTCTTCGGACAGCGAGGCCATCTCGCGGCTGAGGCGGGCGATCTCCTCCTCGCACTGCTTGGCCTCCTTGTACTTGCCTGCTCACGGCTGCAGGTGTGAAGAGACGCTGTTCACAGCTAGCCCCTCCACGTGCGACGTGATCACCTGCTCACGGCTGCAGGTGTGAAGAGACGCTGTTCACAGCTAGCCCCTCTGGCCTCCTTGTACTTGCCCGTCTCGGCGGCCGCCTTCATCGCCCGCTCGGCGATGTCGCGCCTGCGGGGGGGAAGCGCCATCGGACGTGTCGAGGAGGCCATCGGACGTGGCTAGGAAGTCATCGGACGTGGCTAGGAGGTCATCGGACGTGTCTTGGAGGTCATCGGAAGTGTCTTGGAGGTCATCGGAAGTGTCTTGGAGGTCCTCGGACGTGTCTGGAGGTGTGTTCAGACGTGTCCTCGGAAGTGCCCTCCGAAGTGCATCGGAAGTGTCAAAGACGTGTCGCGCCTGGTGCCCGCGTCCTCGAGCAGCCTCCGCGTCTCGATGACCTTCTGCGTCTCCTTTCGCTCGAACAGCGCGGACGTTGCGTCTTCGTCGCGAAAAGACCTGGCGAGCAGAAAAAGAAATATGATCGCGCGCGAGCAGAACAAAACGCACGCGTGTTGGGGGGGGGGGGGGGGGAAAGGCGGACGGACGGGGGGAGAGAGGCGGCATGCGGGAGAGGACAATGTCGAGGGCGGCGGCGGCGTGGCGGCGGGGCGGTGGCGGCGGTGATTGCCCGAGGGCTGTGATTGCGCGTTTGCGGCGCGGGACTCCAGGAAGGGCTCGAGGAGCGGGAGGGGGAGATGGAGGTGGGGGAAAAGGGGGCGGGGGAGAGGGTGACGGGGGAAAGGGTGGTGGTGGAGAGGGTGGTGGTGGGGACGGTGGTGGTGGTGGTGGTGGGGACGGTGGTGGTGGTGGTGGTGGTGGTGGTGGTGGAGGTGGTGGCTGGTGGTGGTGGTGGACGGGGGGGGGGGGGCCCGCCCTTTAACAACGCCTCCTGGAGGGTGGGCTTGCCGAGGCCGGCCTCGCCCACCACCATTAGGTTGAACGACTCCCGCCCCGGCTCGCGCGACGT